AAGCCTGGGAGATTTACGGGGCCATCGGTCCAGGAGCCAGGCTGCCAGTAATCAGAGGGGAAGGGAGCGAGCCCCGCCCCGCCTCCTCGCTCTGCCCAAGGTCAGAGAGGACTCCTCGGGGAGGCAGCGGGCTCCTCCCCAGGTTTCCTTTCATTTCACTGGTTTCATTGAGCCTGGAGGAGGAGATGGGGCGAGAGGAGGAAAGAGGGGGACAGGGGAGATGGAGAGGGGGATATGGGGAGGAGAGAAGTCGGGGCAGGGAAAGGGGGAGTGTAGTGAGGGGAGCGTGGGGAAGAGGAGGATGAGGAGAGGAGGGGAGGACGGTGGGGAGGAAAGGTGAGTCTCGGCCGAGCAGACAAGTGGAGGCCTCGGCCGGCCGTACTGGAGCTGAGGCTACCTGAGGCAGAGGGTGAGGGACTGAAAACCATATGCAGGAAGCAGGTAATATTTCTGGAGCATCTGGGCAGGCTTCCTGGAAGGGGACGTCTTAGAGACTTGGCTGTCACTTATCAGGTGCTAGACCTCGAGGGAGGACCCCGAGATCCCTCAGCAGTTTCCAGCGGGCTCTCCCATCCCTGAGCCTCTGTTCTCAAGGCCCCTTTCCCTAAGATGCTCACTCTCCCTTCCAGTCCTAATTCAGCCTCCAATTCGCCCAGAGAAACATCCAGACCTTTCCTCATTATGGGTTCTGTCATCTCTGAAATCCTGGGGCTCTCTCTCCCCTCTATCCCTCTCCCTTTACCTGCCCAAGCCCTGGGCCCTGCACACAGGTGTCTGAGGGCGGGAGTGGGGAGAGGAGGAGGCAGCAGGGGGAAGGAGGGAGGGAACACCTTGGCATCATAAAGGGAGAGAGAGCTGGCCAGCAGGAGGCCCTACAAGGGACACTTAGGCCTAAAATCATCTCCTTAATAATTTTAATAACAATTCATCTAATGTCTAGTTTGTATAAAAGTCACCCTTTTCTGAGTTGTTTTGGTATCATAGTGTCCTAAATGTAGCTCAATGGTAGAATTAAATCACATGAAAATATATTTTTGTTAAGGGAAGGGGATGTGGAGTCAGGCTACCTGGTTTGGATCCTAGCCCTGCTACTTAAGAGCTGACTGACCTTGGGTACATGACCTCACCTCAGTTTTCTCATCTGTAAAATGGGGGTAATGATGGTTTTATCTCCTAGGGTTCTTGTGAAGCTTCAAATAGATAATGTATGTCAGGGCTGAGAACAGCACTGAGCACAAGGTAAGCCCTGTGTAGCTGCTTAAATAGAATAAAATAAAAATAAAAAAAGCTTGCTAAATAATCAATCCTTCCCTCTGGTAGATTCGAAATGACATCTTAAAAAATTCTAATTTTGAATAAAGTAACTTCAGACAAACTGACTGAGGATTCATAAGAATGTTTAAAATTAGATAAAGTAGAAAATGACAGCTAAAAGGATTACAGAATAGTTCTGTAATTCGTAAAGTGCTGCAAATTTGAGATTTACTAGGAATACAAAATTAAGTAAACAGTGCCCTCAGACAAATTGCTTTAAAAAAAATACTTAAACATCAACAAAATGGCAAAAACAGAGAGGAAAAATTAGTTGATCAGGTTAGAAAACACTCATAAAGTAGCTGAATTTTGGGGAAGTCATTAGATGAATTTGCCCCTGGCTAATGGCCCTTGAGACCCGCCACCCCCTACCCCAGCCCTGTAGACCCTGGGAGTGTGTGCACAGGGCCCTGGCCTTGGCCTTGAAGAGGGCTGTGCAGTTAGTAAGGGTCCAGGTTCCTAGAGCCTGGGCCCCTGTGGGGACTTTCCTCTTGGCTGAGCCGTCTCAGGACAGATGGCTTCCACAGAAGCCAGGACCTAGGGCAAAGGCCATAGACGTGCTGCCCTGAGACCCTGGGTAGGGGAAGCATCTTGCTCCCCAAAGATCTGAGGGGCTGGACCCAGCCAAGGTGAACTGGTAGACTCCGGGGTCTTCACAGAGATGGAGGGAAGTAGCTCAAAAGGTTAGAATCCAGGGCTTTGGAATCCTGCATCCATATCCCTTAGCCTCACGGAACCTCCTTTTCCAGCTGTAAGTAACTGTCCAACCTTCCTGGTGTTTTAGTAAAGCGCAGAGAACAGCGCCGTGTGCGGCAGGTCGGCGGCACGATTGCAGCGCTGCCTCTCAGAGCAGCTTCCCGAAGGCCTCAGGAGGCTCCCCGGGAGCGCCAGGCTCAAGGCTGGGCCAGGGGGTCCTCTCCACTCAACCACCAGCTGGGACTTTCCCAGTGGCAAATCCGAGCAGGCAAGCTCCCTGCCCTTGGGATAAAAGTCAGATCCCACCAGGACCCACCATATCCCCTGCAGCCTCACGCCATCTCTTCTCAGGGTTGGGGCTCTGGGGACATCCTCGCTGTTTGCTCTCCTCTAGGACCACCCCATCTCCATCCCTGCCATCCTGCCCTCCTCTCACCACACCTCCCCAAAACCCTGTCAGAGGCTCTCATATGCGCACGCACGCGTTTATAGCTCCAATGACCAGAGTTTGTAAATACACATGGAGTTCTTCCCCATCCGTTTCTTCTTGCCAGTGTCTCCTAGGCTATCACCTTGATAGGGCAGGAGGCACAGATGGGAGTTTCCACCCTCATGTCCTCACCATGCGAGGCCCTGCTCAAATACTGGTTGAAAATGAAGGTGGAAAGCCAGGTAATCCTGAGTTACCTTCCCACCCCTGTCGCCTGCTCAGATTCTCATTTCACAGCGAGCAGAAAGCTCCAAATAGTTGGACAAGGACCCAGGAAAAAAATCCCGTTATCACGAAGGCCCAGAGCAAGGAAACCTGTGCTTTGGGGCTAGAGAGAGCATGGTTTAGTTCCTCTCTCGCTGGTTACATCCTGAGTGACTTTGGGTAACTAGTCTCTAGTATCAGGCTGAGGTGTTCCAGGGGGCTGGGGGCAGGGCCTGGGTGACTAGGAGGGGACCGCAGACTGTTGCCTCTGAGGTTCTGGTTCTTACACCCCTAGAACCATGGGTATCCTCACAAAGACCTCTCCCCCTGGCCTGGCTCTGGAGCAGCAACCAGAACCCTCTCCAGCTAACCAGCTTGGGCAGCTGGCATCAGGGTCCCCCAGAGGGGAGGGCTGTGGGGCAACCCAGGCCCTAACACTGGCTCTCTTAGAAGGCACCTATCCCAAGAACAAGTGGGAGGGGGCAAAAAAGAGCTCAGAGCCCAGGATGTGGGGAGTTGTAGGGGGTGGAGGTAGTCATAAACCCACCCCACACCTCCACCCACCCCAAACATAGCCTACAATGTCATTAAAGGGACCTGGCAGGCCTAGAAGCCGTCTGCCCACTGGGGCACTGAGCACATCTCAGCATGGTGCTCGCCCGTTCTCCACCTGACCAGACCCCCCTGGGAAGGCAGGGCTCCATCTCTAGGAGCACAAAACCATGGCTGCACTGCTGAGTGCTCCCTCTGTGCCAGGCATGGTGCTCAGGGCTTTGCTTGCATTGTCTCAACTATTCCACAGTGATTTCATCCTTATTTTACCCACGAGGAAACTGAGGCTCGAAAATTTGAGTCACCTGTCCAAGGTCACACACGAAGCAGCAAAGCAGGGTTTCAAATCAGGTCGGTCAGCAAAGCTACTTTCTCACAGTCAGTGGATGCTCACTACTTATCCGTTGAGTGAGTGTTGAGCGAATGAGTCCTCTGTGTACATACGAGAATATTGAAGCCCAGGAAGTGGTCCCTGTGGCTGGTCTGTGGCGGAGTCCAGGCAGGGCTAGGCCTACTGACTTCCAGCCTGACTCTGTCCTCCCCCACCCCTGCCTCCTGCCCTGCTAACCCCCCCAGTGTGTGGCCTCTGGGCCCCTCTTTGCCTACTGAACCCTTTTAAGGTCAGGGCTTTTCATGAAAAGTGTGGCCTAGCACAGGTTGTCCGCCTTCTCTGAGCCTCAGTTTCCTTATCTGAAAAATGGGGACAGGGTTAGAGGGCGATTCCCGCTGCCTCTGAGAATCTGTTTCTGGGAATCCCTCCCTCCTGGCCTCACCCCCACTTTTCAGCTCTTTCTTTATAGCCTCTCTCCACCCTCTCACCCCCAGGTCCCGCCTGCAGACCTTGGCTCTGGCCAAAAGGCACCCACAGCCTTGAGAGACCCTTGGTGAGGTGGGTCCTCCCAGCAGCCTTGCCCCATTGCTCATTTGGTTCTGGGAGATGCCTGGTTTCAGGCACTGAGAGGACGGCGGAGACAGGGCACAGGAGATGGGGGCTGTCAGGGGGAGGGCCAGAAAAGGGGTGGGGAGATGGAAGGGATCCACGGGGGAGGGGACAGAATGGACAAGGGATAAGGGATTTCTGGAAGTGAGGAGGGGCGTGTCCGGGACGCTAGGAGGTCCGCGAGAATGCCCCATCATCCACAACGCCTCCTAGTCCCATTCTAGCTGCCATTAGAATTTCATCTCTCCTTCACCTGCCCCCTTAACCAGGCAGGAGAGCTGCATCCCCTCACCCCACTCGGGGGTCCCCAATCTCAACCTGCCCGCAAGCCCAGAGAGTTCCCCGACCCAACTCACAAGAGGGCTGAGTGAGACCAGCTCCAGGAAATGAGCACCGAGACCCCCTCCCACCTTCCAGTCAAGGTACACGGAGCTCCAGCTCCTGGAGCCAGGCCCCTGTGACTGACCCCACCGCCCACACTTACTCTGAGGAGTGCAGGGAGGAGGCAGAGCACGCAGAGGCGCGGGCGTGCAGCGTGGAGGAGGAGCGGGGCCGCGGCGGGAACCCCCATGCCCGCACCGCTAGGGACAGGAGTGCGCCTCCCAGCGCGGACGTCCCGCCCTGCCTGCCCCTCCCCGCCCCAACCCTGGCCCAGCACCGAGGCCCCGGCCAGGCCCTGGCCACGGGGGCATTTCCCCTTGGCCCCCACCCCCCAGGGCAGCCGTGACACCGCCCCACAGCCCGCCCCCTCCAGGTTATTTATAACGGGGGCTGGGCAGCCGCTTCTTCCTGGCAGCCAGGGACCAAACTCTGCCTCCAGCCTGCGGAGAAGGGGTTAATGCCTTTTGTCTGCCGCCACCTTAGCCGGGGCTGTAGCCACCCCTGGTGGGGGAGAGAGAAACCGAGAGAGGAGGAAGGGCCTCAGCTGAGGCTGGGGCCTCAGTGCTGAGCGGGCTGGGTGGTGTCACCCCGACCAGGCTTCCCAGCCCCGCCGGCATGTTCTAATTGTCTGGGGAGCCTTTACCAGGCTCCGATGTCTGCTGGACCTTTGGAAGTTCAATGTGGACGCAGATTAAATAATAGTACTACTGTATCAGTGCTCGACTTCCTGATTTGATAACTTGCACTGTGGGGCAGGTAAGAGCTGTTTTACGAACTATGTTTAGGGCTAAAGGGGCACCATGTTTCCAACATTTGTAAATGGTTCAGAAATACATATATATGTAGAGAGAGAGAGAGAGAGAGAGAACCATAAAGCAGATGTGTCAACGTGTAAATAATCGGTAAATGTAGGCAATGGGAATATGGGTATATGGGTATACTTTGGATCATTCTTCTTTCCTGCAAATTTGAAATAAAATGCTAAAAAAATTTTAAAACACCGAGGACAACAGATTCCATAAGCCAGGCGCGTGCGGGGATTCTGGTTATGGAGGTTGGGGCAGGTTTCAGTAAATTCCCCAGGGATCCTATGTCAGGCAGGGCTGAGCAGTGTTGGTCACGGGTGGGGACAGGTCCAGCCTGGGGCCGCGTCAGGGCTCAGGAGGTGAGACCTGCTCTCAGGGAGCCACTGAAGCAGCCTCCTGACCTGTTCCAACAGGTGGGCCTGGTGCAGGGAGTTTAAAAGCTTACGCAGCAGTTCCAGTCGTCAGGATCTGAGGGGAAAGCATTTGAGGAATGTGATTAGTGGGGCACTGAGCTTTTCCTGGAGGGTGCAGACAGGGTGGACACAAGCCCTCGAGAATTCAGCCTGAGTTTGAGAAACTCAGACACTGTGTTCACCCTGATCTCCCTGCCAGGGACCCTTTTCTCCTCCCCTTCGCTGCTTCCTCCAGGCAGCCTTTCTTGCTTGCTCCCACATCACCCTCCCCTGAAATCTCACAGGCCTGAGTCTGAGCCCCTGGCTGCTCCCTGGTGTGGACTGTTCTCTCACTGCCCCTTGAATAAGGCTGGTCTCCAATCAGCTTGGGTGGAGCCCTGTCTCCCCATCCTCTCTTAATTTCTTATGCCCTCCCTCCTCTGTCGCACAGAGCCTAGCCCCAGTGGTGCCGGGGAATCTTTATGGAAAAGCTGAGGAAGAGTTGACTAGATCCCCCCCATTCATTTGAAGGCGACTGGGTGGAACCCCATTCCAAGTGCTGGGACAGGATATGGCTTTACTGGACCTAGTCAGGTGGTCTTGGTCAGAGAGGGCTCCTGGCAGGAGACGACCACTTGGCAGGGTTTTGACGGGTGGGTAGATGCACAAAGAGTTGATGGGTCAGCATGAGGCCCCACAGTTCTGTGCAGCATGTGTTCCTGGAGCCTCCCCCTGGCCAGCCTCTCAACGTTAAGTACAGAGCAGAGGCTCTGACCTCAAGGTCAACCTCAGCCTATGGAGGGTGAGCCAGCCACGGGGAGAGATGTGGAGCTCATGAGATCTGGGCTTAAGTAACTGCAACGGGAAGTGAGAGTTAGTACAAGGCACTGGGGCAGCTCAGGGCAGGGCAGCAGGGGGCTTGGGGGGGGAAGTACTGCAGGATTTAAACAGAGGGAGAAGGGGAGACCTTTACTCCAGATGGAGGAGTCAGGGTGGGCAGAAAGCAGGATCCGGGCAAGTGCAGGCTGGCTCGACTGGGGGCCTGGCTGGGGAGGGGACAGTGTGGGGCTAGGCAGCGGGGGACAGGCTGGAAGGAAGCTAGATTTGCTTTAGTTCTAGAAGGCCTCCGGTGCAGGTGCATAGGTAATCAATCTGATTCCTCCCTGGCAGGGCTCACCTTGTGCTTCCGAACCGATTCCCTTGCCCCTGCCCTCCTCCCCCAACCTAGAACACTCTTAGGAGAACTGTCCTGGGACTACTAGAGCCACGATCTGCATGGAGGTGGTGATGCACAGGTACCCCAACCCCAGCTCCCAAAGGCATGCACGTCATTAACACCCTGGGGGGGGGACCTGTGGGGTCCAGGAGGCTGGGGCTTTGCCTGCATCTCACTGCTGGAACCTGACCTAAGGTTCAGGCCAGGGAAGCCTGGACTTGACCCCTCTAAATATAATGGGTTAAAAACAAACAATAACAATAGTGAAAAACATACAGACCCTTGAACTCCTGTGGCATGCTCTGGACAGCCCTTGTTGCTGTGGTAGAAGAAACCCTGCCAACAACTGTGAGCTGGCACGCTGGCACGCCACTACTAGCTGTCTTTTAGAAGCTTTCTGTTTTGAAGGGCAGACCGCAGGGCTGATGGGAGTCTATTTATTTTTGAAAATGCCTTTCTAGTCATTGTGATTATGAAAGATAAACTCAAGATGGTCTTAGAAGAGAGGTACACGGTTTGCTTTGCCAAGAGGTGGAAACTCCTAGACTTTGCTTGGCATGCAAGATGGAAAGGGCTGGGAGGGCTTGGGTCTGGGCTGGGGGGTGTCCCTGGTGCTCAGAAAAGGACTTTGGGGCAGGCCAGGTCCAAGCAGGGGTGGCTGGAAGGGCTTCCCTGAGGTGTGAGAGGTCAATGAATGTGAACAAGGGGCCTGTGATAACTTCGGCTATCCCCACCTTCACAACAAGTCCCCTGTGTACAGCAGCTGGTGTCATGCCGCTCAGGAATGAGGACAAGGCGCTGTGCCATGTGTGGATAAAGGGCCGGCAGCTGCAGGAAGTGGGAGGGAGTACTGGACATTTCTTGGTTTTGTCCAGAATGGTCCTGTCCTTCTGAGAAATGCTCCATCCTCTACTCCACTGTTTCTCAGTTTTTTGGTGTTTTTTTTTTCATTATCACCTCCTCCATCCCCAAGGAGCCTTTTTAGATCTTTTTCTAATTGTTCCTCCCTTATAAAGTTTTAATACCACAGATATATTGCATATCTATGGGAGGCCACAAACCATTTTAATATCCAGGACTCTTCTGCCCCCCCAAGGCCCACTTTTTGCCTCCTTGGGGGCACTATTGCCCCCTTGAGAGGGCATGCTCTACTCCAAATGTGACTTGATTGGCAGCGGGCCACTGTGGATTGGCCCAAAGTAATTGACCAGGCTGGATAAATGAGAGGGTCTCCCACCACTGACCACAGTTAGTCGGTACAGAAACGGCCAGCTGATCTGAACGGACACAATCAGAATCCTTCCCTGGGATTTTTAAACTTTGCATCAAAGAGAGAGGCTATTCCTTCCTCGTGGAGAAACTGAGAGATGCTACGTGCAGCAGCTGCATGGCTGTCGGGAAAACTGAGCTCAGGGAATGTGCTGCCACACTCCAGAGGGCAGCAGGGGAGAGAGGGAGGGAGAAGGTCCTGGTGGCCTTCCAGGCGCTGGGGGAGCCGGCTTTGCCTCTGCCCGTAGGGAGGGAGCTCTCATAAATTTTCCCTGGTTCCCAAGGTAGTCTGAAGTGTGTTTCTGTCGCTTACTACCCTAGGAATTCTGACCAACCTAGAAGGGATCAGGAATTGAAAAGGAGTAGAATTCAGAGTAAAAGGCACCCAGGAAAGTGGAAGATACCCCATCCCCATGTTTTGGAATCAGAACTGTTGGGGAGAACCCAGGCTTTCTGTACATCTAATGGGCTAGGGCAGTCGGGCCATGGTAGGTAGCTTGGGAGAACTGGGTTTCTTAGGGACACTTGGGTTGCGTGTGTCTGGGAGCAAGGGAGGGACAGGGCTGGGTCTGTATTCTAGAGGGCTTGTTGGAGCAGCTGGGTGGTTTGGGGTTGGAGATGGCAAGTTTGGAGTTAACGAGAGAGCAGAGTGGGCCAGTACGGCAGCTGAGACGAGAGATGAGATGGACTCCCAGTCCAGAGTGGGGTCTGTCCTGCCTCGCGGGGCCACCACACTGACCTGACCTCTCATCAGGGGCTGAGACTGCTCAGGTGAGGTTGCCTGGGGCCCCTGCCCCTCCTCCCTGAGCTTACGACCGGTGACATCTTGCCACCCAGATGTATGATGCTATCTTCTTATTTTAGCTGTGGTCACATCAATTTGGTCTCAGATGGCAGAGTATGCTTTTGCGATGCTGTTTCAGAACACAATTTTATAGCATTGTTGGAAGAACAGCTATTGATTTTGCTCATTTTTTATTTTTTCTGTGGGTTCAGTGGGATGTTACTGCTCTCTCTCTCTCTCTCTCTCTCTCTCTCTCATCCTCCCAAATCCTGCTTCAGGGATGCCAGTCCAACCACGAGTTACGATCACTCTGTTGTCACTCGTCTCTAAAGAAAAACAAGTTACCATATTTGATGAGTAGAGATTAAGTCAGCTCTGGCAGAGTTTTTACCTGCTCGTGAAGGAGCCTTGAACTTTGGCCTGGAGAATAGCTGTATTTTCCAGTGGAGTTCAGGCTCCAGGGACTGAGTGGAATGCGGGCCTGACTGAGTTGTCATGTCTGTGGTTTCACAGCTGTCCCTCTGTCTCCTGTGCAGGCTGCTCCCAGGATCAGGCGCCATCGGCCTGGCTGGCAGAAATGGGGCCTCTGCGCTTCCCCTGGGAAGGTGTCGCATCTAGGGCCCCCCACCCATGCTCCAGTGTTTGCTGTGGCTTCTATGATGCATATCCCACTCCCTCCATCTTTTCCCCAATTCCCTTAACTGGAAAAGGGAACAACACCTACTACCATGCAGGGCCACGATGAGGATCAGTGAGGTCAGGTGTAGACAACCGCTTCCTAGAAACGTAAGGGAATATCATTATTGTCATTTTGTTTCTTCCAGTTCAAAGTCAACAAACATTGAGGACCCACTATGTGCAAGACCCTGTGCAAAGCATGACCGTGGGTGTCTAGAGCACAGTAGGTTCTTTTTTTAAAAAATTTTTTTATTTTCTAACTTTATTTGGAAACATTGTGGTTTCCCAGGACCTGTCAGCTCTAAGTCAAGTCATTGTTTTCAATCTAGTTGTGGAGGGCACAGCTACTGGCCCATGTGGGAATCAAACCGGCAACCTTGGTGTTATGAGTCCATGCTTTAACCACCTGAGCCAACCGGCCGCCCCAGAGTAGGTTCTTAACAAGTGTTTGTCGAGTGAATGAACGAACAGGGACTAGGGGAGTCTCAGGGCAAGAGGCTTGGAGTGGTCAGGGACAGAGGGGTTTGAGAGACCTCCAGCACATGGGACAGAAACCTGGACGTGTCCACCCACGTCTGCCTTTCCTGAACTCCTACAAGAGCACTGGGCTGGAAGGGAGAAGACAGTCCTCAGTATGGACGAAACGTGCATGTACTGAGTACCGATTAAGCAGAGTGCAGGGAGAGGAAACAGCCGCTGTCCCAGAGTGGGGGGGACAAAGCGGAGGGAGCAGGCAAGGGCTTTGGGGGCCAGTGAGCATGGTGTCACCAACACCAACCCGGCCTCGGGGTAGTCGGGGAGGGTGCGCAGAGCCTGGCTAGGTGAAGGGGAAGGTGTAGAGGCCCGTGGAGGGGCGTTCAAGGTGAAGGCAGGGCCTCCCCGAGGTGAGCCAGACAAGGCAGGGAGTTTGTGAGGGTGGAGTTGATCAGCGATGGGCAGGGGGCACTGGGAGGTGAGGCCAAGCAGCAGGCAGAGCCCGGCCAGGGGGCCTGTCGGGTAAGGCAGCCACGGGGGGAGTTTAGTCATGGGGATGACATGGTCACCTGGGCATTGGAGAAGAACAGGGTGGAGAAGGGCTTGGCTGGGACTCGCCCAGAGGCAGGAAACCACTCAGGAGGCTCTGTCGATAAGAAGCGGTGGTGGCCTGAGTTCTGTCCTGATGCTGCTTCCCAGAGAACATAGCAGTGGAAGGGACCTCAGCAGTCACTCCATGTTCATTCCCATTTTACAGGTGAGACACCGAGGCCTGGAGAGGCCTGGTGCAAATGCAGGAGGGCCGCCCCTCCAAAGGCTTTTCCTCAGGGCTCGCCGCCCCCCGCCTCCCCCCTCGCCTGCAGAGTGAGATGAGCCAAGGACATCTGTCTGTTCCTCCCCTTCTGGACCGGGCTGTCTCTGTGACAGGGTGATTTGTGGGGCTCCCAGAAGGCAGGACGTTAATGAAAGCAAGCGGTGTGAGGCCGACAGGGCCTGGTTTCAGGCCTTCGCTGGGCAAGGTCAGGCCCCGCGGCTGGGCGGCTTGGGGAGCCTCTGATTGAATCTGGGAATGTGAGCCAATGTGGGGACAAGGCCAAGGCCATGGTGCCAGACTGGCAAGGCAGGGAAGTGGCCTTTTCTGATGGAGTCCCCTTGGGCGACAGGAGGACAACGGAGCGAGCCAGAGGAGGAAGCCGGGGTCAGAAGCCACATCTGCTTTGGCAGAACGGGGTGGAGGAGCGTGGTGTGAGACCAGTGGTGGGGAAAGTTGTCCTCTGCCGTGCTCTCTTGTCCCCAAGCCTGGACTGGGATGGAAGGCTCCAGTCCTGCTGTGTGACTTACCAGCGTCAGCCCTTAGACAAAAGCGTCACCTCCTGGGCCTTCTTCCCGTCAAACGGAGATAAGGATCATATCTGGGTTGCCTTCTGTTGCCCCTGGGTCATCAAAGAGGCTGGAGAAGTTCAGGTTCCCAGGGGTCTGGCCTCCATGCCCAGGGCTGATGGCCTCTGGGGCGGATGCTCTGATGACCTTCCTGGCCCACTGGTCGCTGGTCGGTGCCGGCTCAGCTTTGCTCCCTCAGCCAGAGCCAGCCTGTCAGCGACATGGGGTGGAACCCACTTCCTTCTGCTAAGATATACCCTTTTCCATGGCTTCAGCTGTTCCTGGAATAAGATAAGGCCCCGAAAAGTACAAATTAGGGGACATGGAGATTATGAGAGCTAAAAACTAGCGTCTCCTGCTTCACCCCCTCCCATTTTCCCAAGCTATACAAAACCATCCCCAGTGCTGCAGGCTAGAGAAAAGCCAGAGCAAGGAGACCTCAGACTATTCTAGGCTCAGAGACAGGCCTGGAGAGGGAGGCGGGGCCTTCGGGCCAGCAGGCCCAGACCTGTGGAGAGGCGAAAAGTTGTGTCCCAACTCTGCAAGGGCTGCTTTCGCCTTGGCCTCCCCATCCGTATCTCTTTCCCTGTGAGGGCGGCTGTCCCCTGAGATTTAATTCAAGTTGGTGTGAGCGCGCTATCCTGCATCCCAGGGGAGGCTCAGTGATGTCCTGGGCCATTACGCAGTGCAGGGAGGTCATGTTCCATGGTCATCTCTGGGCAGAGGCCTGGCTTCCGCTGGCCTCTTGATCCCACTCTTGTGTCTTCGCTCTGGCTTGCACAGGCCCACACGTGGATTCCCCCGGTCCTCCCCTATGGAGCAGGCTGCAGCCACTCCTGCTGCGCAGAAGCTCTGTGGCCAGACCCTCCTCCACCTTGCTGAGCCAAGCCCCTGCTGCTGCGTGCTGGCTGCACCTAGGTCTGCCGCCTCTAACACGTCTCTGCCAGGCCCGTTCGCTCTTGCCTGGGGGACAGAGACCATGCTGGCACCAGCACGCTGCCCGCTGTGCCGGCCACAGAAGCCCCTGCCTGCAGTCAGCTAGGAAACAGGGTGGCAGAGCAGCCTCCTCTCCTGGTTTTCCTCTGCAAGCGGCCCCACAGCAGGGTACTACTGGGTCTGTTTAATGGGACAGTTCTGGTAGTGGCTAAGTATACCCACAGGCCACCAAAGAGGTGGGGTTGAGACAGTTCAAACTATAGCCACTGTGGCACATGCAGACCACTGCTTCCCCTGGCCTCTGGACTGCTGTGATTCTCTCCCAGAAGTCTCAGAGCGGCCCTGCCATTTCGCTTTTCCCTGTGCTAGTCAGGGTTCCTCAGAGAAGCAGGACCAGTGGGATATGTTTATATAGGGAGAGATTTATCTGAAGGAATTGGCTCATGCCATTGTGAGGGCTGTCAAGCCGAAACCCACAGGTAAGCTGGCAGGTTGGAAATTCATGTCAGATCTGATGTTGTTGTCTTGAGTTCTAAATCTTCAGGGCAGGCCAGCAGGTTGGAAACTCAGGCAGGGGGTTCCTTGGGGCAGTCTTGAGGCCAAATTCCTTCTGCTGCGGAAAAACGTCAGTCTTTGTCCTGAAGGCCTTCAACTGATTGGGTGAGGCCCAGCTACACTACAGAGGGCAATCTGCTTTACTCAGACTGTACTGATTTAAATGTTAATCACATCTAAAAAATGTATCTTCACAGCAACATCTCGATGCGTGTTTGACCAAACAACTGGTCAAACTTAGTCAAGTTGACACATAACATTAACTATAATGTGGCCACACACCTGTTTAACTCGTAGGCCTGTGTGTCTGAACCCCATGGTGGGCCTGGTTTGGGTTTTCTGAGAATCTCCTAGCCCACATGTGAACACCCAATGCTGCTAGTTGGGCGTGGGGGTGGGGCACCCAACCCCTTACTGGATATCGCAGAAGCTCATGCGTCTAATATAAGAGGATAGGAGCATATGGGTGAACACAGAAACGCTGGCTTATGGGAGTGTCAGTGAGTTCTTACGCTTCCCTTTGTGTTTTTCACTATATTCCAAAACTTTACAAGGGTATATATTACTTTTTAACAGTGAGAAGCATTGTATTAAGAAATGTAAGACCTTGGGCTGCTGTGAGCTACCGTGAGTGGCCAGCAGCCAGCATGAGCTGCTGTGAGCGGCCGTCCAGTATCCGGCTAGTGACTGCCTCGCCAGGGAAGAGCATAATGATAATACCAACATGAGGCAGTGAAGCGATGTCCTCCACAACTAGACTGAAGAACAAAAGGACAGAAACTCGTCTGTTCCCCTTCCCCGATTACCCAACGCTGTTCCCTCCCCCAATTCCCTAGTAACATCTTAAAAAAAATAGAGTAAAAATAAAAACACCAAAAAAAAAAAAAGAAGAAATATAAGACTTGGCCTTTAGCAGGGGAAGGTTGGTTCTGGCTTGTTCTGGGGAACCCAGGTGAGGGGGGTCATGCTGGTGGTGTCAGTGAGGTTACCAGGGAGGAGACCACAGTCGGGCTGCCCCCGGGCCTGGGACACGCCCCCCCTCACTGCACAGCCTCACGGTCTCCGGTTCTGACTGGAGACTTGGAGGCCGAAGCTGATGACAGAATGAGGCCTCTGGGTTAATTCAGGGACTGGAGTCTGGGGTACAAGGCTCCCCATCACAAGCCTTCAAGGGGTGGTGGGAGAGAGATTGCTGGGAGAGCTGCTTCTAGCTCAGATCAGGTTGAGCGCAGAAATCACACCCCACTCAGGACGCTGCGGAGTCCTGGCCGGTCAGAGAGAAGAGGTCAGCCCTTCAAGGGCTGCTGGAGGCCATGCTCTGTGGCCAGAACATCTTTGCAGCAACCTCTTCCCCTGCGGCCAGCTGGTCCGATCTGGCCACAGCCTTGTGTCAGCTCTCCTCAGGGAGGACAGGAAGAGGTAACCTGGGCTGATCCAGGGGGAGGAGGGAGGTTGGAGGGGAGGGGAAGCAGAGGAAAACTGTAGGCCAGTGCTCAGGGAGGCTGACTTCTGCAGCCAGGGAACAGCCCAGGCTGGGTGCACCCAGGAGGGGCAGGCGGCCAAGGGGGTTGGAACCATCAGCAAAGGAGAAGAGATAGGAACCCAAGGATGGAGACAATTGGACAGTGGAGGGAAGAAGGCAATGAAAGTAATTGTTGCTTTGTGTTCAGGGAAGGCCATCATGCTTTTCTTATAAGGAAGCGTATTTAATGAGGATGTGAAATCCCACACCGAAACACTTGACTTCTTCATTTTCAAAAAATGGGCTCTGTGAGTTTACCTGAAATTGTGACAGTAACCCCTGACGTATACATATGTAGCCTAGTTCCCTGTGAGGCAGGATTTTAATCCCTTTACATGTACTGTATGGATTTATACATTCCTCGTAAACCCTTACTGCGGTCTGTGTTTTAGGGATGAAGATACTGAAGCACAGAGAAGTTAGGCTACAGGCCCAAGGCCACACAGCCAGTAAGTGGTGGACCCAGGAGTTGAACCCAAACAGTCTAGGTCTCAACTACTCTGCTAGGAGTGTCTTTCTGCAGGAAGGGACACCTCAGGTCTCAGGTCCTTAGAAATACCCTTTCTGTTTTCCCAGGTTTTGCTATGAAATCAAAACATCAGCTCTCCCCGCACCGAGCTGTCCCACTGAATTGCAGAGCCCACCCGAGCCTCAACCACCCACTCCTCTGGCTGGTCTTCCTGGGAGGCTGCCTGTGAAAGGAGAGTGGAATTTCACTCAAAAGCTTTTTTCTTTCCTTAGGAAAGACAGTGCTCTCAAACTGAGCATTGGAGCCATTGATCCCAACAATAGGAGGGATTCATGCGGACAAATACATCACTTTGCACAATCTGCTAATGCTCTCTTTGGCAGGTGCATAGAATATCGACAAAGAGAATTCAAAAGGTCCTGCATTTATTTCCCCTGGCTGCTTGGGAAAAGGGGAAAAATTGGTTTTTGAGCGTAGCAAAAATACCGTCACAGGTGCTCACAAGCATTGATTCTTACAGTGTCTTCTATCATATGCACGTCGTAGGGGCTCAGTAGAAATTGATTGACGCCAGACTGCCTGGTTAGAATTGTCTGCTGCATTCTAGCTGTGTGACCCTGGGGGACTTACTTCAGTTCTCTGGGTCACAATTCCCTTTGTAAAGTGGAGCTCAGATTAGGACCTGTTATAGTCCCTACCTCCTCGGATTGTTCTGGGGATGACATGGGTTAGTCAAGGCCAAGTGGGCAGTTCAGTGCCTGACCCATCCTGCACTCAACCAATCCAGCTGCTGTGAATGGGGAAGTGAGTGGACAATGTGGCCAGGATGGAGGCGGTCACCCGGCCACCCTGCTGGTCTGGACCAGAAGTGATATTGACCTTTTACAGATGTTTGTGATGAAAGTCTAGCAATAATTGGCAAATTAATGCACAAAAGAGAGAGCTTTGCAAGTGCCTTTAGAGAACACCTGGTTTAATTGTCCTCATTGTATTGTAGATGTAGAAAGCCAGGCCAGGGAGCCAGGGGTTTGCTCAGGCCCCCAGAGGGAGGCTGTGTCTGAGCTGGGTCTTAAGTCCCTCTAAATGGGACTCTGCACTGCTTCTCTGGTTAGTTCCTCTGTCTAGGACTGTGGCCTGATCGTAGGTTTAAATATCAAAGAGTCAATTGATAGTCTTTGGGAAAAGGCAAACACAACTCAAGTTAGCAAGTTTGGCACCTAGGGAGAGACAGCAGCCATCAGTTTAATCATCAGACCTCTCAGCCTTGTGACTGGTTTAACTGAGAATTCTTTCTGGGAGGATCTCTCCATGATTTTTATCCCCGGTCATTGATGGCTGAAAAAAAAAAAAAACAGATTCCAGACCACTGGACCCACAGTGACGGCATGTGGGGTCCAGAGCGCCCTTCTGCCCAGTTCACAGGGATAGAAAGGGACACCCAAAGAAATATGATTGCCCTTTAGCAATAATAGTTGGTGGTAGTTTTAAAACCAGAGTCCAGAACTGCTGACTTCTCAACCAGGAATCTAATTGCCAGGAAACAGCACCCCCTCAGCAAGCCTCTTAGGGATTTTTTTTTCCCCCAGTAGCAATGTTCTAAAAAGTGTTTCAGAAAATCCCCCAACTCTAGCCCTTATAAAGATGGACCCTGTACACATGGGAAAGATTTGATGCTCATCCAGATTTGAGGACTGCAGGCCTACAGAGAGCAGAGAAAGACGACTGGCCAGAAGGTGGAGCTAGGCTGTTGGTCGACTTGGTCTAGCTGTGACTGACCCTGAGAGTTAGTTAGAGGGTCCAGCCGAGGGCAACTCAAAGCAGATGTCCGGAAGCTGTCAGTTTGCAAACTTTTGGCTACCAGTCAGCCATAAATACAGAAATTGAAAGCAAGCACATGGAAACTTTTATGGCCATTGACAGAATAGTTTTATGCTTGCGGAATCTAATAATAAAAATGTGAACACATATTTTGGGTATCTTTATGGTTTATTTCACTGTTTTCTGGAAATGGATTTTTATTGTATTCCTCAAAAGTGTTGTTCTACAGCTGTATGATGGTAATAAGGAAAAAATAAACACTGGTCCTTCGCCCTAGAAGAAGTGTGAGAAGCTTTGCTCCCTGGATCTCTTCCCCAGAGATGCTCACGTAACTGATCAAGGACGCAACCTGGGCTCAGGTGATGTTACTGAGTAGCCAGGACTGAGACCCCTGCTGCCCCAGACCAGCGGCATCAGCATTACCTGGGAACTTGCTAGAAATGCAAACTCTCACCCCATCCCAGAACTCCTGACTCAGAAAGTCTGGGGTTGGGGCACAACGATCTGTGTTGTTAAAAGTCCTTGAGGTTATTCTGATGCATGCACAAGCGTGGTTGCTATCGCCTTGACTAAGTTCCTTAACGTCCCAGCACTGCTCAGGGCCTGGCCCGATAGGCCCCTGACGTGTACATGCTGATCTGGGAACACCCAGGCCTGAACCCCAAACATATCCTCGCAGCGCCCGGACCCTTTCCTCTCTCCAGCCCCATCCATCCAGGCACACCACCCAGGATTCAGGCTAAAGAGGAGGGCAGAAATCGCTTTACACCCACAGAGAAGACAACTTCTCTCTCTCTTCTTCTTTCTCTCTGATGAGAAATCCAACATTGCCTATTTTTTGCTGAGTCATCCCTCAGTCATTCTTTTATTCCATCACTCATTGAACCAGAGCGTTTTGATCGCTCTGCGTGCAGGTGCAGTGTGCGTGCTGGGGTACAGGGTTGAACACACGGTGCAGATAGGCCGGGGGTTGCGGGGGAGAGACACGGCCCTCTCCTCACCCTGCTTCTGGCTCTGCCTCTCTGTGGCACGCTGGGCAAGTCATGCTCTTGCTCTACTTGTCTATAAAATGGGTGAAGTTTGGGCTAGGTGAACTCTGAGCGCCCTTCCAACTCTGCTGACTTACGTTTCTAAAGTGGGGCAGGTGGCTGAGGCAGGGTGCTGGGCTCATAGGCACACAGTAAGTTCTTAGTCATTACTGGGTGGGTGGGAAATGGATGGGCGGAGGACCTAGTAAAGAATATGCGAATGAACAGACGAGCCAGTGAGGGGACAAGAGGAGGAGTGTGGTGCCTCCCTGTGGGGAGGAGAGGTGGCATGTGTCTGCAACCCCCAGCAGCTGGGCACCCAGCTTTGCTTGGACAGCTCCTTGTCTCCAGCCCCCCCAAGCCCCACCAGCCTTTGGGGGGGTCCCTTCTTTAGTCTGCCTTCCTTGACCATTCCAGCCCCCAGTGTCCTCCCCAGTCCTGTGCTCCCACAGCCCCCCAAGTCTGAGACTCTCCCCAGTCTGGACTCTTCTCAGCTAACCCCCAACAATTCAGCAGCACCTACTGGCATTCATAATTACTTATTTAAAGAGTATTTTTAATAACATAAGGACTACACAAATACATTAATTATCATTATTAAAAAATAAAAATAAGAGAGGCAAACATCCCCCTTGGACCTCCCATTACTGTCAGTCTCCCCTGAAAACACTTTGTAACAGTTTCCTGAGTTCCTTTCCACACCTGAAATTTTGCATTTACATCCAATTTTTATATTTCTGTGTTTGTGAGGTTGTTGACACAAGTATACTGTACAGATGCTCTTTCACTTAACAGTATGTCTCAGGGATCTTTCGGTGTAGTGCTGTTGTAGTTTTTTGTGC